TTTTTCGACTCGATTTGCCTCGCATTCGTATTTCTCTCTGTCTCTCTCTCTCTATCTCTCTCTCTACCTTTTCGTATTCCTCGTTTTTGGGCAGCACCTACTTTTGCTGGAGCTTCCAGCATTTTTTCGCATTGCCGTTTATTTTCCTTTTATTTTGTTGGCCAATTTCCGGTAATTCAGTTTTATGCAGCAAACTTTTCTATTTTTCCCACCGCCACCCCCTCTCTGCCTGCTCTGCCACCGCTTCATCTGCCATTTTCGTTTCGCATTTATAAATAAAAAAATATGTTTTCTGGTTTGGGGGCCGTGGTGGCAAGTACAACATGGAGGAGTGGAAACGGTGATCCAAGGTCATTGAGATGTGTAAAGTTTTGGCCATTTGCAGTTCGGGCCAGGCAACAAATGATGATGAACATTTTTATGGGCGGGCCAGGCCAAGCCAACAGTGCGTTTCACGACTGTTAGGCTGGTAAGTAGTCGTTCACTCAAATCAAAATGGAAATTGCTCTGACAGCACACCATAAGTAATGCTGGCTGCTGTCCGACTGCTGCCAGTATGCCTATCCCTCGCCGCTTATTAAAGTGTCCTTTGGCCCCCAAACTCCCACTCCCACTCCCACTCCCACACACACCCACTGTCTATGGCCATATGCTCTATGGCCTCTTTCTTTCTCCACCGACTGTAAATTGACTTTGATAATTTTCACTTTCACAGCATCACACTCCCAGCCCACGCCACCCCTCCTAAAACGCCGCCACACTCCTAATTTGATTAGAAAAGTTTCAACTTAAAAAAGGAAAGTCTCGGGGATGCCGAAGCATTTGATACCCTTACCATTCAGTATCCATCATTAACTTGAGGCACAGTTTTGTTGGGCGAGAAACAAGCTGTTGAAATCAGAGATGTTTGACTTTGGTTCGAATATCTTTGCAAGCAAGCGACCTGTTTCTCGTCTTTGATATATAGATTGCTGATCAAGAATATAAGCATGCATACATACATACGTACATATGTACTATATATGAGGCATTTTTTGTGACTTGAAAAGCCCAAGAGCCTAGCAAAAAGGAAAAAAAAATACCAAAGAGGGAAATATTTTTGGTCTGGTGTGATGAGGTTTTTCTCACACTCAATCACCCCACATCACCACCCCACCCGCTCTGTTTTTCTGCCATTTACCCCTTGGATTCTCTCCAGTTGCTTTGTTGTGGTCTTCACTTGAAAAATTTGATTGGCAAACAAGATTTTTTATTTTTTTTGTTGGTTTTGTCATTTGGCAATTGGCTAAAAGTTTACCGAGTGTGCAGAGCGAGAGAGGGGAGCGTATCCAAGGTTAGAGAATTTAAACTGCAATTAAATTATGGCTAGAGGCCCCCCTCCCCACCCACGCCACAGCAAAGAATTCATGCGGAAAGGAGGCAGAATTCTGTACGTACCGGAATCCTAGTAGCATTTCAATGAACGAAACCCACAAAAATGTCAAACCGTTTTTTCCCCCTGAAATCCAAAATCTCTCCTCAATGTGTGCGACAAGAATTTTATAGACTTCTAATTGGAAAAATTCCTCTAGAATTTGGCAGGAAAATACACAACAATTTGACTTGTACTTCTTTTTTTTGTTGGGTTTGGAAAAATGTGGGAGAAATGAGAGAGAAATGTGCAACAAGAAATCAGGCGAGAAATCTGGAAATAAACTATTTCATTTAAATAACCAATTTAATGAAATAAATGTTTCATATTTCCATTGGAAATTGAGAAAACATTTAACTTCATAAAGTTTTCGTTTGATTTGCTTCGGCTTCTGCTTCTGCTAAGTGATTTTCGGGTATACGAAATAGTTGACCCAATTAGGCAAAATAATTTGCTTGTATTTCTTTGAGAAATTAGCAAATTAAAAAGAACTTGCCAAAAGCTTGGGATTTCATTTCACTGCAAACAGATTTGCATTTTTAAAAATCTCATAAAAAAAAAACAGACCACTGAGTGGGCTCTGCAAGATTTCTCATTTATGTAAATGTATTGATTGGATTGTTATTATAAATAAGGCAATTCAATTCTCTTTAGAACTTTTAATGCATACTTAGTATTTTTTTGGTTTTCAAGGATAAAAGTGGACTAAATAAAAATGTTGTTTAATCTATAAGAAAATACAACGGGTAACGGCTGAAAATATTATACATATATTTTATTTATTATTTTATAAACTTATTTTATCCAATAGCAAATTAAAAACTTTAAGCACATTTTTATAAATGTTTTCTAATTATTGAAATTTATTTTATTTTGGTTTAAATTCTAAATAGAAGCTATCCCGTAAACGGACGGACATAGTTCATTAGAGTAGACCTGGCCAGGCCTGTCTGTCCACCCCCACATTCCGCTCCCCCCCTCACACCCATCGCATATTATCGCCTATCATCTTCAGGCTGCTCCTTGGGCGCCCCCCTGTTTCTATTTCTATGGATGTCCATCTTAATTGACTTGCAGCATTTTATTTGTTGTATGAAAATTTCAAGTCATTTTGCATTGATTGATTGATGGATTGATTGACTGATTGGATTGGATTGGATTAGAGAGATGGAGATAGAGAATGAGAGAGCGAACCCATGGCCATTTTTAGCTGCATCCAAAAAGCGAGAAAGTGAAACATTTGCGGACGGGGGTCACTACAAAGAACTTACCATAAAGAAATGTCCAAATGTTTTTTGTGATATTTTTGTGTCCTTTTGTTTGCTCTTTAAACGGTACAATAGAGAAGGATTACGGTGTGGCCTTGGCAGGCTCTCGGCGAATCTCGGGGGGCCCGCAGCCTTTTGTGGGCAGCCCAACCACTTCTTTCCTTTTTTTTTCTTTTCCAAAATAAAACTGGTTACTGGTTCTGTTGTGGTCAGGCACTTCTTTCACGTCTTGCACTTGGCGGCTTTGCTGTGCTGTGCTGTGCTGCCACTTGTCCGCCACTACTCTCCTCCACTACTCCGCCTCTCTATGAATTTCTTGACTTCTTCTTGCAGGTGCAATCGCGCGTCGGATGCTGGACCGGTTTGCACAGGAAGCTGGCTGGTACGCACCACACAAAAAAATGTTTAATTTATTTTAATTGTGATTTTCCTTTCGGTCATTTAGCACTGGACACTGTGTGATTACGATTTGTATTCCTTATAAATTATTCTCAATTTCGTTGTTGTTGTTGTAGGTACATATCAAAAAATTGCACTCAAATTTGCACAGGCAAAAAAATAATTAAAATTATTTTATTTTCCCAAAAATATATACAACAAAAAAATTTCACCCCAACACTTAGAATCCAGGAGGAAAATAACACAAATAATGTTTGGGATATCGCGGCGGTGCCGTTATTTATTTGGATGTTTTGTTGTTGTTGTTGCGTTTCTGATTCTTATTTTTGTTGTTTAAGTTGGAGGGGGAGAGTGAGAGCGAGAGAGAGAGAGAGGGAGCGGGACGAGTATGAGTGCGAGTGCGAGAGCGAGCTAGACCGAGACAGATAACCCAAAGCGAGCGCGACCTGTACGGGTTTCTGGGGTCCGATACCTCCGATAGTCGCTGCTGGGAACGACTGTATGCTGACACGGCGGAACACGTACTAAAAACTTGTTCCACGAAAACGCAGCAAAACCCCATTGGAGCCCCGAAGTAGCGCTGCAGCAGTGGCGCGGCATGACAGTGGCAGAACAGTCAGCAGAGGACAGCAGAGACAGAGACAGCGGCGCTCTGCCCCTGTTAACGGTGGCAGAGGCACGCGCATCGGCATGCAAAACATTTGCTGTGGCAGGGAATCTGTTCCCAGCAGCCTCAAGCCTCGGATTGTGGCGTCGTCGCGTGCCTCCGCTAAAAATACATATATGTACAATAATACCCGACCCGACCGACCGAACGACCAAACGACCAAACGACCGACCGAACACTTCTCTCGCACAGTCTACCGTTCGGCTCGTCTCGTCGTGTGTCGCATGGATGTACATGTACAAAAAATGAGACCCGATTGTGGGGGATGTCCCCCGAGCAGGCAACACGAGGCAGGCACAGCCAGGCATCCAGGCATCAAGGCACGAGGCGGCCCCAGAACCGTAATGTTGTTCGGCAGGCAGCCGTGAGGAAACCAGGTCGTTGTCTGGCACTTCGTGCCCCTGTTAGGGATAACAGAGATGGCTGGGGGACAGTCGCTAACATGACATGACTCTGTTTATAGATAGTGTCCCCAATCGCAGTCCCATTTCCATTCCCACTCCCACACTGTCACTACCACTGCCACTGCCACTTCCACTTCCATTCCCCGAGCGGAGTCAGCTTAAGTGATATTATACTCTGGCATAAATTAGCCGGTCCAATGGCATTAAAATCTTGATTGGTGGCCAGCAGATGCAGAGATGCAGCCGAAAGAAAGAAAGCAGCAGTAGCATGCATACGCATACCTCTACCTCTCCACCTCTCTACTCTTCTGCCCGCCCCCCGGCCGGAAGTGCCACACAAAAGTGACAGCAACAGCTCCACCATTGCCCTACATACATATGTATGTATGTTTGTATGTACGATGAGTGTGCGTGTGTGTGCTTGAGGCTGGAGAGATACACCCATCCATCCATCCATCAACCAGATAGTATGTAAATATACACATGTACATACATACATACATATGTACATATACGCTGCTTGCATGTTCGATCACACGATGGGAAAAGTGTTATATGGGAAAGGGAACTCTCTTGACATTGATAAGACAAACTGGCATAAAGAGCTCCACAGCCCATCCAGAATGGGTCACCCAGCGGCCCCCGGGGGAGTGGCCCGAAATGGAGATGAGCCATCGTTTGGAGTTGGGGGTGTTGGGGGGTCTCACAAAAAACTGTGATTTAATATACATTCAGATTCAGATGAATTCTTGAAGTCCAAAAAGTTGACAGTTTATGTAATGACTCTTCCGCAGGGAAAATTTAATTTAAGTTAGAGTACATTTGTGAATATTTATAAATATTATACATACCATAGCATCCATATAGTCACTATTGGGAGTAGTATCTGAAGATCCTTCGTTTAAAGGTGAAAACCTGGAAAAATAAAAAATTGTTTTATTATACAACATTGTCATAAATATGCAATATTATTGGTATTTAATGGGATCTATCCTATCTTCAGTATAGGATGTTAGCCATGTTAGCCTTTCTTCTAAGTCTTATTCCACTTTTGTTCCTGAAATTATGATTTGGAAGCAACTAAAATAAGATGCTGTACTGTTCCCACTCGTAATAACATTTAATTAAATGAAACAAAAACGTAAGGACCTTTTGTTTTAAGACGCTAAAAATGCTACCAAAATAAAATTCGCGTTTGACAAGGTCCGGTTGGAAAAAATCAATTCAAACGAAAAACTGTAGACCGAATTATTTTAAAATTCGCGACTTTAAACATTTATTTGAATTTATTTTTTGTACACTAGCGATGAATGCTTTTGGAAATAATGATGTCAGTAAACATTTGCTTTAAGTTACTGCAGCCACTTTTCACAGTCACTGCCTGCCGCTTCACTGCCATCACAGCTGATGAAACTGCATCTCTGTCAGCAGGCCAATTCGCAGGCCCTGCCTGAGTCACTCTTTGGCCATGCGATCTCGTGACAAAGCACTTGAAAACGTTTCCCCAGTTCGAAGAACTATTGACAATTGCTGGTGCTGATGCTGAGGCTGGTGCTGGTGTTGCTGGTGTTGTGCTGCTGCTGCTGCATCAGCTTCTGCTGCATGCGATTGGGAATGAGGTTACAAATTTAAATAAAATGCGCATGCAAAAAGCAGAATAAGAAAAAGAAGCAGCACGATGAAAGAGGAGAAGTGGTTGGTGTGAAGAGGGGGAGGGGAGGTAATGCGAAGACAACAACTGTAAACAGAACGGCACAACAAAGGCTGGGCTCATAATTAAAACGAGCGTTCGACTGGCCCAGAATGCAGCGGAGAACTTTCCATGCTCTCAGACTCCCTCCCCACCCCAACAATACAGCACTCTGACACTCCCCCTCACACACATGGCTCCATCAATCTCTCGCACTCTCTCTCCCACTCCCTCTCCGAGCTGTGCGAAATGTTGTACCGTACCATAAAAAAAAAAAAAAAAAAAAAACGTGGTTCCAGCAGCCAAAGTAGAAATTTACGAGTAACGCCTCCTGGAACAACACACAAAAAACCAAATCAAAAAAAAAATTGTTGCTAGCCGAAGATAGTCATACCCTTGCAGATCCATTGATGTTACAAAAACCACATTCCATTGCAGCTATTCCTAGTTATGTAAATGTATGTACATATGTATGTATGTATGTAGAAGATAATTATTTGTCTGCGTTTGAAACGTCTACCCAAAATAGTAGTGCTCATTTTACAAGGGTATAGAAACAGCACGCACAAAAAACACCGAAGACGCCCCCTCGAATGAGATTTTTTTTGTTTCGTTTTTGATTTTTGGGTTTTGACAGACAAATGTCAATAGAGCGCGGCGGCGGCTGTACGTATCCATCCATCCCCCCCTTACCCATCTTCAGAAACAGGCCTCATGCCCATCAACAACAAATCAATGACGACGACACATGTTGGACATCCCGTACACAGGCGGAGGGGCAGGCTGAAACCGAAACTGGAAACGGGATGAAGGAGAAGGAGGAGAAGAAAGTGAAGAAGGAGCACGAGATGTACGACCGATGTCAGACCCACAAAGAGGTACAATGGAAGGCATTTAAGCATTTGGAAGCAATTACCGCTGCAATGAAGCGTCGAATGAAAGAGAATGAATTAACGGGAGAGAGCACAGACCGAGATGATGAAGATGAGCAACGCTAGTAAGCAAGGAAGATGAGCAATGCAATGATGAAGCAGAGAAAGAGAGAGAGCTGAACACGAAAGAAGACACGTGTCTGTCTGATCGGTGGTGGGCCCCCACGGACCTAAAAGTAAAACGAATTTATGTACATTTTTGTGCACATTTCCTGGGATTTGGTTCCTCATCCTTAAATCTAGAGGGATTACTTAGTGGAAGCGACAGACGAAGCCCGACAGATGGACAGAAGACGTAGACGGGAAACACGAGACGCTTCAAATGCCAATGAGCCAAGACGAGGAAAAATATGATGTTCTGTTGCACGGGAGGGGAGAGTACAGTAATAGTCCGTATATGGTCACAACTAGTCCTTACCTTTTTTTTAAGCAATATTCCATTCTTTCCAATTTTTTTTAGCTTAAAATATATACATAGCCGAAGACCAAACGATCTCAATTGAGGTTATTTTCACCTTAACTAGAGTCCACTGTGGTTGAGCCGCTCGCGATGTTTTTTCCATAGGCGAGAGCAACAGGCTAATGGAAGCAGAACGATTTCCACCCTCGCCTATGTTGATAAATATGTATGTATGTACATATGTGTGTGGGGAAGGTGGCGAGAGCGAGATAGCGCAGAGTCTAGCAAGCGCTAAAGTGGGACAGAACGATGGAATGAGAAATCTGTGAGAGCGCGCGAGAACGAGAGCGCGCGTGATGATCATCACAAGAAAAAGGTGTTGTTGTTGTTGGTTCGGTCGGGGGCGCGACAGTTTGCGCGCTAATTGCTGTACTTCACGAACGTGAATTTTCAGCTTCCTCCTTTGCTGCTTGTTCGTTTTCGTTTTTTGTTTGTTCTTTGTGGACTGAGGGAGGGGGAGATGAGTCGAATTTTACGAGCAATGCGTTGTTTCTTTTGCTTGGGTTCCTGCCTCTTTACCGTTGTTATTATTACGTTGTTCTCTGTGTTGATTTTGATAGTATTTGTGGTTGGAATAAGATGATGACAGCTGTACGGAAGGAAGGAAGCGCCGTCTTCACTGCAATGCACAGTGGGACACATATGTACATACACGATCGAACTGATTTTTGGGATGAGATTATGGGTTCCCCCACAGAAACATACATATGTTATAAATTTTATATTTTATTCGTATTATATGTGGTCTCTTAAATACATATGTATATGACTTCATATTTTATTATTAATTCTTTCGGAATTGCTTACCATCGGCAATGGATCTTCTGGTCTCTAGTAATTATCCACTGTGGAACACTGTTATATGTATGTACCACGTACAGTGCTATACAATCATGCACTAGGAAATCCGTTATTTTTTTCGCATTCCTACGAAAGGCTTTGCTTTCGGGTTCTGCTTCTGCTTCGGCAGTTTCGCGGCGCGCGGTGCTTGAAGTTGTTGTTTTAATCCGGTGTTTTGTTAATTTATTGTACACAAGTATTTGATTTCCGATATTTGGGTATAGCGCGTCGTTTATTTTTTATTTTTGCTTTGTTTTCCTTTGAAATGAGTTTCGATGATACATCCATTTAGTAAATTACACGAAAATGGAAGATTTATTTTTTTGCTTTTTTCTTTTTTGTTATTGTGTGTGCCTCTGTGTGTTTGTGTGCCTCAAGTGATGGAGAATGTTCTGGAGGGGGGGGATAACGTGATGGGTGGGGGTGTGATGGAGAGCGAGAGCGAGCGGGTGTGTGATGAGCGCTTCCGCTTCCGTTGCTAGTGGGGCAATTATACTGCTACTAAAACCGTTCGAGCGCAAATAAATACCAAGAACAACAACAACAAAACACTAACCATTGAGCAGCGTGGAAAGAGCGACAGAAGTGAGAGAGTTAGGCCGACTAGACGACTAATTGTTACCCAGCAAACGCTGAAAGAGTGCACCAAGTACGAGTGCGTTGCCTGTGAGTCGAGGATGTTCCTGTAAAACCTTTTGCCATAACTTAAAAATACATTTGTGTGCGTGTGTGTGCGTCGCCAAATTTTGCAGCTATAGCTCATGCGGATGCAGCGTGAAACGCAGTTATGAGTGAAATATATACAGCTTATTACGTACAGCAACCAATTTATGTACGTACATACATACATATAAATACATATGTACATACGTCTGTGTGCTGCAAGTGTGGTCGTACATCGAACGGAAAATAGTGAGACCGTAGAAATAATAACACTACAGTTTTGTGGTATAAGTGTGACCATCTCGTGAGAAATATCGATAACTACGTGAGCAGCTGCCCCACGAATTTATGTACATATGCCGTTCAGACGGCGCAAAATATATTAAAGTTTAAACTCCTGAATCTTTCAGCTCGATTAAAATTAATGTACACAAGGAGCGCAACAACAAGGATTGTCGCGGATAGCTGCTGCCTCTGAAAACTTGAAAGAATCACAACATCAAGACATCTGTGTATCTGTATGTGTCATTTGTTCTGACTAGCTAAGGACGTGTCTTATAGAGTCTTCTGTTGAATGGGCTTAGTGGGAGCTGCAGAAAAATATGCAATAGAGCAAAAATACACAGCAGCAGAGGAGGCGGAACCCCCCGACTGTAGCCACTCTGTTGTAGAGGCATCAACTTGATTGTTCTTGTTGCTGTTGCTTGTTCAAGGGGCACACGTCAATAATTGCGCTTGAAAAGAAGTTAAGGAAAACACAATCAAGCAGAAGCAGCACCAGCAGCAGCAGGAGCAGCAACAGCAGCAGAGTGGCAGTAGGGGGCAGGCACCCGAGAGTCAGCCAAGCGATGGAGGAGGTCCTACCAAGATCTGCTACAACAGGGTCTGGTCTCGGGGTCCCCTTTTCGAACTTTAATGTGAAAATCATGCAATGAACCAAATACAAACGGAAATGATTCACACTCCAGCTGAAATACAATTCAAGTAGGGGAGCTCTCTGCTGAACCCCAGGAACCCAGAAGCAAAAGTACAATATAAATATATGTATGAACATACATGTGTACATATATCTGTACATATGTATGTATGTACGATGGACAGACGGACGGGGGGTCTCAAATCGAAATTGCGTTTTCAACAACAATTGTTACAACAACAATGACGCCATTTGGAACAACAATAACAATTTTCACCCCCCCCATAAGATGTCTAAGAGAGTGAGTGAGGCACAGAGACACGGAGACGGAGACAGGGAACCGAAACGGAACTGTGCTACCGATGAAAGCAGATGAAACACTCGAGGCTCGAGGGAGGAGCGACCCCGACCCGACCCAACACAACCGACCGACCACCACATGTCGAGGAGCATGTGCCCCCAGACAAATGTCAACGCAAATATTTCACTTCCTGTTCTTTCATTTTTCCCCTATTTATACGAAGATTCCCCCGTTCGACTTTTGCCTAAGCTTCGACAAAAAGGTTCAAAGGTCAAGGATTTTCACGTTTAATTAGACATGGATACGGTTTTGCCCATCACCATCACCAGCAGCATTCAGCATCGGCGAGGGCGTTCACGTGGGCGGCAGCGGCGGCGGCATTTGAATTTCCAATTAGCCCACCGAGAAGGCGGGTCGGCAGGAGATGGGTGGGAAGCTTTGCAGAAAATATACCTGAATGACACAAAGAAGTGTTTGAAAAAAAGCTTAAATCGCCTTAAGGACAATGGTGCCCGAGGTCGGGTCGCCTGTGGGCGGCAACGCCCCACAATGTGTTGGCAATTCTGGCTCAAAACGTTCAAGGTTACGGCCTTTGGTTGAATTATAGAATTAAACGTAATTTTTTGTAATATAATATTCTGCACTTAAAAATTTAATTCCAATTATAATTGAAGCTGCAGTCGATTGGGACGATGGGACTATCTTTTTCAAGGGTCCCCCCCCACCTTCCAAACTGTATGCAAGCCCCGGAGTATGTCCATCCTTTGGTTGAAGTTTATTTTCTTAAGACTTTGCCGCACACTTTGAGGGAGAGCCGGGCTGGGCACAACTTAAAGTTGAATTACTTTTCAAAAACTTAAATTTTCGCTCACAGTCGATAGCAACTCATCGTCGGGAGCAGAGTTCTCGGGGGATGGATGCGTGTAGTGGGGTGGGGTTGGGTTGGGTTGGGTTGTGACAAACTGGTGCAACAAATTAAATGCATTAAATGTCAAGTCTGGCACTTGTTGTCCACGCTGATAGTTTCATTAAATGGAAAAGCGAATTTTTTGCGCATTTTCCGCAAACAGTACGACTATTTTTTCTTCGCTCTTTTATTTTCTTATTTTGTTCGCTTTATTTTTGGCGCAGTCTTTGAGGGGACGACAAGGCAGGGCAAATCCCACTGAGACGCCGTCTGTGTCTCATCTTGAGCAACCTCCCGGCAGACAGTATTTTCCTTTCCTGGCTGTTTTCCTCACGTCTTGAGTGTGTGTGTGTGTCTCTCTCTGTCTCTCTCTCTGGCTCTCAGGGACTCCAAGCTGCAAGGCATGCCATTTTCCATTTGCCATTTGCCATATTTCAATTGCATTTTAATTCATTTGAGTGTGTTTCCAGTGTGAATATCTTCTGCTGTTTCTTTGCCACTTAACCCTTTTTGAGGGTAGGACAACCAAGGAGACTCTGGCTCTGGCTCCTCCTACCAACAAAGAACCTCAAGAATTCCCACACGACTGCATGGAATATATCATAACCATTTTGTTATTTAAAATTTAAATACGACTATTCCAAGCGATACACAAATGCCTCTTGGCTTTGAAGGTAGCACTTCCCCCTCCGTATGTGAAATGCAGGAACTCCTGGCCAGCAGTTGCCCCCAGACAACGGGCAATAAGGAGATCAAGTAAAGGATCCATCTGGGGATGTTAAAGGCACCTTCCTACTGGCCTACATCTGCTCTAAGGAGTTCGCCTGAGGAGTTCTTAAGCGAATCGACAGCGGTACGAGGTTACGGTACGGGCACAAGGAGCAAAAGCAGGGACAACTAGAAGCATATAAATTATATGTACAATATGCAATAAAGCGCATTATAAAATAATAACAACAGTAACAGTAATAATAATGTACGTGTTTGCGTGTATACGAAAGTGCCCGGGCATTATATCCGCCACTTGGCACCGGCACCACAACATTCCACGGGTTAAGCTTTCACACTTCTTTTGGAGCGAAAATTAAGTAATAATACCTTATTTTTCCATAGAAAAAAAACAGCACTGGATATTAATTTAAAAAAAAGCAAATCCGCGCTGTGTTGTGGATATCTCTCTGGGATCCTTACTCGAACTGCATGTTGCACGAACCATTGGCTTTGGTTTTCATTAATATCATTTTTGGCAACGTTGCGCGGCACTGTGTCCATTTTCTGCAGTGGTTTGGTCTTCACCAGAACATAGACGGTAATGTCTATGGCCTCTATTTTTCGTCTGCTAGTCATGGCTGCCAAACAAAATTAATGTATGTAGGAACATGTGCATGTACACAGGAACTACTTACCAATGGCCACGTCCGAGAGCAGCTTTCGCGACACCGGCGACCCCCGACCAAATCGTTCACAAACTGCATTCGCTTGTTGGGTCTGCATTTTCTTGTTGTTTTTCAGAGGGATTCACTTTATTTTAGTGAGTATTTTGCCCCACGTGTTCAAGGTTTAAGCCTAGTACTCACCCGCGCTAAATTTTCCGTCGTGCTTATTTATTACACGCGGTGCCCAGTGTGACCAATGCGATCAATATGCGTGCTCTACGGCTACACTGTATTGTGTTTGTTTACAAACAGAAATCTGTTAAAAAATCTGTTCCATTAGCCTAATAAATAAATCACGAATAAATGTGTGATTTAAGCAATCTGCCGAGCTGTAATGGCGAAAGTCCTTGCTTGAACACCTTCTGTGATCAATAAAAAAATAATAATAAAAAAAAAACAAAATAATAATAAAATCATCAATCACTCGTCAAATCAATATTTTCTCAAAAAAAAATATAAAAAAAACTAGCGCTACTAGTCTCTACGGCAAGATTCCTGTGACCAACCAATCTGCCATCGTTATGGTCAAAGCCCCAAAAAAAAAAAAAAAAATCTGATAAAATTTCAAATGTTGTAAAGCAAGCAGAAATGTGTTATTTGTGGGCGCTGTGGAGCTGGAGGACGGTACACTGTACACTGCAATATTGTATAAATCCGATCCTGCAGGACAAATATGCCATCAACATGTTTTTTTATCCTTTTAAAAAATTAAAATGAGTACCGGGTATAAAACTAATAAAATATAATGTCCATATAATCTGTTTTCATTCGACTGCCTTAGTTAAATTTACTATGTCTTCATTATTGCACTTTTGTAACTGGCTTGCACTTGTTTGTGCACTTTGCCGCCATGGAGTTAAGTTATAGTCATGTGTCTTAGGCAGCCTGTACTTCAGACTAAAATATCTATAGAAACAAATCCCTCTTTTAACCAAGTTCATTTCAGGAATACCGCTGCTGGAGTATCGGAAACCTTCGGTGCAGTAA